TCCTTTATGTTTCAATCTTATCAAGGCGATCCCATTCATCTGAGGCCTCTAAAAACTTGTCTTTTTCACCCAAAGATTCGCCCAAAGATATATTTTTCTCACATAAGCAAGCTAGTTCCCTAACGTGATTTGAATTTGATTGGTTTTAAAACTGCCAGTCACGTGTAACAAGAGTTGAAACCACAGCAGATGTGCGTGAAATGAGAAAATATAAACTGAAAGTAAGTTTCCCACGTTCTCATCCTGAGTGTGCAGGAGAAAGAGCCGAGAACATTTGGGTTTTGGGTTGTTACAGTTGGTTCCCAATGTATTGCACATAACTATATCACTTTTGTCATTTCAATTTCCCCCCAGTAATTCTTATAGTAGTCTCGGTCTGTACAGCCACTGGTGCTTGGAATTGGCTAATAGATCCTGAAACACAGAAGGTACGTTAAGCCCTACCCTTTTAATTTGCAATATAGATTCATGGAAGATATTCAGGATATTTTAGCAAGTGCTGTGGGTTCTGGAAAACTCTTATTTTTCTCCTCTAACAGTATCTCAGTGGTGTCATTACTGGCAATGTAGGACTGCATTGGTCAAAATAGAGCTTCAATACATTCCAGAAGCAGGTCTAGGTCATCATGGGAGAATTGTCCACTTCTGATTGCATCATAATTTGGGGTCTTTTAGATTTCGGAATCTAGTAACTAGAATCTCTTTAACATTAGGCCTGTCTGCCTTTAAAAAAAATCAAATTGCTAGTCCTCGTGGTAGCATAGAAAAATTAGAAATCAGGTTTATTGCTTTTTGCTAAGAATTTAGAAGGAAATTGAAAGTAGGAATGCTCACTTCCTTACAGTTTCTTGTGTTCTGTTGTTCAGTTTTCTGTTTACCCGTCTGATGTAAGAGTGCATTTTTTAAAAAAAGTTGTTTGATTCTCTTCTAGGTATCTTTTTTCACATCTCTATGGAATCATCCATTCTTCACCATTAGCTGTATTACATTGATTGGTTTATTTTTTGCTGGAATACATAAAAGAGTAGTGGCGCCCTCAATGTATCCTTTTCCAATGGTTTCATGCAGATGCCAAATGTATTACACAGCTTCTGCTATTTAGAAGACAGTAATTTAAGTGTAAGAAACTTTTAAGCCTAGCATAGGTTTTGCCCCAGACTAAAATCCTTTTCCCTTCTGAAAACTAACCCGCAATTACTGCATTTTATACATACAAGGACATTTAGCTCTGTGTCTCTTTCTGGCCATAGAAAGGCAGTTGAATTACATTTGATTTTTTTTTTCATAATTTTTATCTTGCTTTTCTTATACTGATACAACAGTACAACTTGAAATAGTTATCAGAAATATGGAAAAAAGTTCTCTGCGTTGTTACACTCCAGACTTTCTCAGTGGCCATATTTGCATAGCACACTGAACACAAAGTCCGTTTTTGGCTTAGCATGTTGTACAAATCCAGTCCATATCATCACTTATCAGAAAAATAGGTTAGTTCAGTAGATGAGGCCATGCTAACCTAGCCAGGAGACTGGCTTTTAAAACGGGTTGTTTATGAGCCATTGTAAAAAAATTTTTGAACAAGTGGAAGGAAAATTAAATATTTGGTGAGACTTTCAGAAATACTTATATCAGTTTGCTAGATGAATATGAAAGCAGGCCCATTAACTACAGAGGATGGATGTTTCTTTGACCTTCGGTGCAGCATAGCCGCTCGATGTCGAACTGTCTTGGCAGAATACAATATGTCATGTGATGATGTAAGTAACTCTGGTTTCCCTGGATGACCATGTTGAGCTTTGACATTGGAAACAGAACCACTGGTGGGAGAGGGCTGTTGGTTTATTTTACCATATACAGCTGGGCTCCCAACATTTCAGATGGGCCTACTGGCCCAAACAGCTGGGGACTTCTCTCTGCTTGTATCTATTTCCTCTTCAATCTGTCTCTTGACCTAGCTTCCATGGATTGTCTCAGTCTCGTATTCAGCTAGAATGGCCCCGTGAGCAAGGTGATAAGAGATGTAGTCAAGTACATCTGGAGGCCAGCAGACTGGAGATGTCTTGGCCTTTGGCTACGTTCCTTTGCCGTTTTGTACTATATGTTCTTGGTTCCTTCCGTCGCTGGAGTGGGATAATCCAACTTGTGTGGGCAGAAAAGGATTGAGAGTGTCCACTGCAGAAAACCAGGAAGGGCTTTCTGCTGTACTTTAACAGTTCCTCTGCAGAAAAAGGCTTCAGTGCCTCTGTATGAGTCTCTGGCCTGCAATGATCTTTAAAGAGCCTGTGAAATTATGATGGATGGGGAAAATACCTGGGGCAGACAATTTGAAGTTTCTAAGCTAAATCTGAACTCCTGGGCACATACTTTGGCAAAACCCTTGTTTTCATCATCTGGGGGCAAGGAAATTAGAATTAGTTTTCATGTATCAGAGAGAGATAGAGACAGAGAATGATAGCATCCTGCCCTGCCAGGTTTCTCCTCATCAAAATACTATCACAGGATCTGTTGTGAAGTGACGGCCATTTCTTTTTCCCCACAGACTGGAAAATTAATATTGAAACCTCGGCTCCACGTCCAATAACCCATTGCTTTTGTATGTCATCATGGAAATACACGTCCATTTTTTCTTCTTCAGTACAGCAAGGCCAAACAGGCCTGCAAAACAGGTTGGTCTTCAACCGTTGATGGAAGACGGGTGAAACATCTGGTGCCTCCCAATCTTTTGTGCCTGTGCTCTGTGTTATCAGTTTCTTCTCTGACAGTATTACTGTTTCATCATCTCTAACAGCAAGGTGGTGCCGATGCAGCCCACGACACTCGCCTGCTTTTATAACGCTCAAATAATTGTAAATAGAAAATGGTTACAGTATTTGTACTTCAATTTGCCATAGCGTTTTTTATCAGTGCATGTATTTGTCGATCACGACTGTTTGCCTTCTTCCATGTCTGCAACCCTGATTTGTTGACACGTCACATCCAGAGGTCGTGCTTGCTCCAAAGGAGAAATCACTTGGTGAAAGAATTATTCTTTCTGGCTTAGTCATGAATGAGCGGGTTGACGTGTGGCCTAATTGTTTCAATTTAGCTCTTCCTTCTGGTGGCAACAGCATCAATCACTGGAACTTATCAGCAGGAGACTATTTAGCGTAGCATCCAAGTCTCGATTTTGGGTGAGTTGCTTCCTACAAGTCTGAAGGCATGGTGCAAAGCTGGCTCCATCCGTGGCCATTGTTTGGAGCCAGAACGTGGGAGTGAGGCTTGAGGGACACATTTTGCTTTTTCTTGCTAATGGAATATCAATTATTGGCCTCTACAAGTTGGAAGAACCAGAGGACAATGATTGAGCAACACACACAAACATTTGATCCGGATTGATAAGCTAAATTTTTTCGTCCTAGCTTTTCACTTTGTGCAACCTTTAGTCTGCTGCATGATCCTTAGCTTGCTGTTTTTAGCTCTTCCTCCTCTGTTTTGCTTTTGCTCTGCGTAAGAACCATGTATTGAATCTGAAATTTACACTGTGATAGTTTTGCCATGAAATTAGTATTGCTTAACTTCATACTACTTGATGAAAGGAAGTGCCAGAAATGTAACAAAACCATCTTGCTATGCTGTGGGTTTCACTTTCGCCCAGTGCAAGCAAGGAGGAGGCCATCAACCGATTTAACACAATTGAAGAATTGGGAGTATGCGTGTAGCCTTGTACTGTACGCCTACATCCAAACCAAGTTGGGGGGGCAGCTAGGTTTTTCTAGATTTGCAGTAGCAGTTTGCAGAACCTGTCCTAGCAAGGACTGCAAAAGTGACTCGACACTGGAGAGGTTAGGCCGAAACATCAGCCTCATGGAAACCATATGAGATGCTCTGAAACCATACAGCCAGTTGTAGACCATGGTTTAAGGAAACAAGCACTGGGAGCATGCAGCTTTTCCTCTGGTGTGGGAAATTTGGTTTTTGGCTGTATTTTTCACAGACCAAAAATACCTGCCTTGGGAATATAGCCACGAGGTCAGATTCTAGATTGTTCAGTGACTTTGGTGTTCTCCATATGGGGGAATGTCTGAAAGAAACGCTATTTGCAGAAGCAAAACACCTCCCAGCTATTTTAATCAACCCTTGTTACACAGAAGTGTTAAAAACAAAAAACATGGCTGTTATCCACAGTGAGACTTTTGAAATATTGACCCAGCAATTAAATTTTAAATCCTTGTGCCTTTTAAAAAAAAACACATTCAAGCTATTTTAATAAGAGCATCACACTTAGAGATGCAACTGAGACCAAAGGGAACATCGCCCTGCAAGAATTATAGGAAGTCAATCTTTTGGATTTAGTCAATAGTAAAAACATGTACATCAACGTTTGATTTTTCTTCCTTTGCTCTTGAAATATCTTCTGTATTCCTTACATCACCTTGGCTTTTAAGCAGCTGTACATTTTTGTAAGAAATGCATATTAAATAAATATTTTATTGTTTGATCTTTTAAAAAACGCAGGAGTGTATTCGTTGGAGGTACAACTGCTGAAATCGCTAACTTCAGAAAGTTCCATTGGTTGAAAAAATGCAATATGCAGAATTAGTTGGTTTCTGCAACACAGAAATGCACGAAACCAACCAGTTCTTGGGTCTCCATAATAATTCTACAAAGAGTCATATGAATTTATAGCAAGAAATCTAACAGTAGAACATAATGATTTATACATTTTCCTATTTGGTGTAAAATGATTGTCTTATGATTAGGAGGAACATGGTAGTACCTTTTCCAACCAACAAATTTTATTAAAAGTGATATCAGACTCCTGATCTTTGTCACCATAGATCAGTGTTTCTCAACCTTGGCAACTTTAAGCTGTGTGGATTTCAACACCCAGAATTCCCCAGCCAGCCGTGTTGAAGTCCACAC